CGAATTCACCGCCGTTCTTCTCTCTCTCCCCCAAAATCTGTGTTTCAATCAACAATCCTCCTGTAAGAACATTTCATTTCTAGGGTTTGTATATATATATAGTTCTGATTTTCCGAATTAGGGTTTGGGTTTATTTAATTATTTATTACAGGAATGAAAAGGGCAAAGGAAGAAGAGGGCTCGATCTCCATGGACAGAATATCCTCCTTGCCAAAAGAGATCCTGCAGAGAATTCTGTATCTCCTCACCCAAGAAGAAGCCACCGGAACCTCGATTCTGTCGAAATCGTGGCGCCACGTTTGGCGCACTCGCCCCAATCTCGTTTTATCCGACGCCGATTACTTCAAAGACAAGGGACAAGAATTCCTATCCGTCGTCGACGAGACGCTGCAGGGGTACCTCGATCAAGGGGTGTGCCTGGAGGAATTCCACCTTTGCATGTCGTATCACTTGTCGGTTCTGCTTCTCGAGAAATGGATCCCGAGACTGGAACCGATGGGCGTGCACGATTTCCGTCTCTACGTTATTTCAAGACGTGAAGTTGGGGAAATCGTAGATATTCCCGTAGTCTTCGAAGCCGAACCCCTCACGCTTTTGTTTGTGTTTAATTGCGATTTGGGAAGAAATGTTCCCGAGAATATACGGTTTGTGCGTCTACAAGTACTTCACCTCAAAAACGTCGTGATCGAGCAAGAGATTTTCGATAAGATAGCCTCGAGCTGCGGTTCGCTTACCGATATGTGGTTCGAAGAATGTAAAGGGTTGACAAATATAAAGTTGGACAATGAGCTTCACAAAAATCTCAAGAACTTCACATTTATTAATCACATCGCCTATAGTAAAGACGAATGCATGATCGAAGTCGGTGCCCCGTCTCTCGAAATGGTCAAGATTTATGGCAGCAGGATTCGGTTTCTCGGCCACGAGTTCTGTAATCTCAAGTCTTTATGTATAGCGAACGCGGTACTCTCTAGCGATTTGGTCGAAGAATCTCAGGTGTTTTTCATCGATGCCCCGAACATGGAAGTTTACGAGTACACGGGACCCGTTATCCCGTACGTGTCTTTCGCACCGACTTCCGGGAAGTCGACTTTGAGGCTGTATATGCGGGACGACGACGCGGAAGATGCGCAGTCGTGGTTCCTACGGCTGAGTAAATTGCTCCAGGGTTTACGAAAGTCCGAAATTTGTCTGAAAATATTTCATCTCGCCCGTTTCGATCTGCGCATCGAAGAAGGCATTTTAATGCGCGACGCGATAAGTGGTGGTAATAAGCCGGTTGTGGTAGAGAATTTTATACTGGAGATCAATCATTTCTCCGCGTTTCCATTTGTATTAAATGGTTTGTTTTGTATTTGTCGTCCGAAAAACGTAACTCCGCACAGAAGTTGCTACAAAGAAACGGAACTGGAGGAACTCAGTGAGTTTTTCCGCAAAATCAAAAAGATGATAGATAGCGGAAACCGAGAAATCTGGCGAGATTTGGAGGGGTTAACCGTCGAACGTTTTAATCGGGTTCAACAAGAATGGCAACCTGTAATTAATGTGGCGAAGTTGCCGGAATCTATGTTTAAGGAATTTCGGGTTCGATTGAAATGGAGTGATCGAGATTAAATGTGAGTCCACTTCTAATCTTTAGAATCATAGACAACGAAAAAAAAATCATTTAAACATTTTTTCTGTGAATTTATTGACTTTTAAGACGTGTTTGTTTGTTGTATATAGTTCGCTTGTTTACGATTTTTGTTAATTCGAGCACTATTTTCATAAATTTTCGATCGTACTCGATTTGAATTGGTATTTACCTTTGATTGCTGAATTTTTTTTAGGGTACGTTGTCCTCGTTTATGCGTTGGAGTAGGCTTCTCATGCAGGCTGGTTAATACGTGATTATATATAAAATCTAGTTAAGCTTTATATACTCGTTGAACAATGACGTATTCAACGAAATACGATAAATCTGATTTGATATTCATTATATATATACAAATCATAACTTCCTATATGTCGTTCGATTACGGCTTGTGTCTTCATTAATTCTTTTGATCATAATATTGACTAGCAAAGATTTGTACCTCCTCGGATTAGTTGCACTACTTTTGCCTTTCGCCTTTATTTACAAAAACGACTAGCTAACTCTCTCTGAAATTCGACGATTCTACTTTCAATTGGCTTTTTTTTTTTTTTTTTTTAATTTATATATATTTCTGATTTTTGTTTGAACCCAAGCTAAGCATTCTTGTTATTACTCGATAAATGCAGGGCGTTCGGTTCGACCCGGAAAGCATCTTCACTAGCGAAGGCAAGACCGTAATCCAGAATTTTATGAAGCTGATTGAGAGTAAAGAAAGCTGAATCCGACGAGTGTAATGTTGTATGTGTGAGAGGGAAATTACATTTTCATAGTCGAATTTTTCGTCAATATTTTTATAATGACTTCCTTATCTTCCGAGACTGAGAAATCGATCTCTTGGGAAAATTGTTGAATTGTTTTTTAAGACATATATGTTGATTAGCTTGTTGTTTATTATGACAATTTCTTGATCCATTATGGTTTATTTCTAATGATAAAATACATTGTTATCTACGTGTCGTATTGCAATGCATACGTACGAATAGTTAGTTGTTAATCGTGCATAGGTACATAAAGGGTGCACTATGTTGTGTGATACATAATTTGATGGTGTACTTTGCCGTTTTTGAAATTTCAGCGTGCGCTGCTAATCAATGTGGATTTTGGAGGTGTGAAACGCAATTCACTCGTTTTTTATGTTTGATTTGGTAAAAAAAGGAAAGGGTAAATAGCATTTTGCCGAGTGTACTTTGGCCCGTTTTTCCTTTTCACCCTATTTATCTCAATTATTGTAAAGATGAGTAATATTAGAAACTAACATAGCAAATAGTAGTTTACGTATACCACACAGGCTTCTCGTTCTTCACCTCCATTCTCGTTTTCCTATTTTGAGGTGGGAAAGTGCAAAAAGGCCTTTATTAGAGAGCCAAGTGCAACACATTTATTACGGAATCGATGACCAAGCGATCGTTTGTTTACTGTATAATACAACACAAAAATAGAATTTTTTTTTTATGATTTATTTAGCAAGAAAATCTTAAGGGTGTATTAGGGTTTGAAAGATTTCAGCATATAATTACCAAGGTTGAAAATTTCTTAATTTAGGGTTTGATTGGAGGGCTCCAACTCCATGAACAGAATTCTTTATTTCCTCTCCCAAATAGATGTTGTTCGAACATATGTATTGTCCAAATCATGGCATAACATTTGGTGTACTCGCCATAATCTCGATCTTGATTTTTCATACCCTAACTTCAAAGGAAGCCGTCAAGAATTTCTATTGGTTGTCGACAAGACTATACAGCTAAACTGTAATCAAAAGCTGTGTTTTGAGGAAATTTCGCCTTCGCATAAACCTGCTAGGCGAAGATTACTCGGATCAAGAATCGATTTTGCTGAGTAACCGTCTCCGCCTTCGCTTGCAATGGAGTGAAGCTTGTGAATCGAGTTCTACTCTTAATAACATTATTTAAGTAAGGTTTCCAAATAAACTCTTTATTCAATTCCTTTAAGCTCTCAATCATCAAATAAACTATTTTTAACATTTTATAAGCTCAGTCAAACATGCTATAAATAAGCTCGCAAATTGAGCCTCGGTCAAAACTAGTCGAGGGTTTTAAACTATATATGCTCACTATTAGAAGCACTTGAATTTTCATGTTGTGTTTGCTTCTCGAGCACCACGAACGTACGTAACTAAACTCTGTAAATAAGGTATCTTTTCGTTTCTTTTCAACAAAATCATAACGTAAGCGGTCAACACCCCAAGAAAACGTATCCTATTTGCCGCCATTCCCACCAAATTGGGATCGAAAATACATTTTTCTTCAAATAATAACTAGTTGAGATTTTAACACCATTTGCAGACAATTTTACCTTAGAAAGATAAAATAATTAGGCCACCATTTTAAAAACATAATAATAAATAGTACTGGGACTCCAATTAGTAATTTCCCCGTGGTTTTATAAAATGCTTCATCTGGTTTACTTAGAAATAAACAAGTTAGATATGCTTTTGCATTTTTCAAAAGCTTCTTCAGTATTCGATTAGAACCACTAACAACAAGTTAGATTTGTATTTTTTGTTGAAATAGTGAAGTTAGGTTGCAATGATACACAACTGAAACCCATTTTCATCAAACCCTAATTCTGCACTAAGAGTTAGGGTTCAAGAAAAAAACTTAATAATTTAAGAAGTAAGATTTATCTCTTTCCACTATTTCTGTAATTAATGTATACCATTCGTTGTTCGAGAATTTCCATATGAAACACATTCCCTGCCGCCGAATATTAACACGTTTCATTTATTAGAAAAAAGATAACATTTTTCCCATTTTTTGTGCACTAAAATAGCTTCTAATAATCGATTAAGCAGTACTAAAACAAATTTTGTTTCGTGAAAAAGCAAACGATTTAGTTACAAAATCCTAATTTTCGTCCAAGATTTACGGCTCAACCAAAAACATAAAATAAAAATAAAACATTCGAAAAGGTTTACAACATAAAAATATGAATCAATTCATCAACTGCAAAACCCGAACTCTTAACAAAACACGATACATTGTAAATTTATTACAACAACAATAACAATGTTCATAGAAGAATGATGAGATGAAAAATTGATACATTTTAGGTAAATGAAAACTCTGCACATAAGTTTCAATTCACATAAGGTTGTCTGAAGAGTTCCTTAAATGAAAACTGTCCGAGGGTAAAAACGTCATTTCACATAAGTTTCAATTAGGGTTTTCTTATTACATGACACTTTCAGCAAAATTAAGAAAGAACGGCGGCTACTTTTAACCTAATGAAAATCATTTCAATTCACTGTCAGCAGCAAATCACCTCTTCATCGAATTCACCGCCGCTCTTCTCTCTCTCCCCCAAAATCAGTGTCCATTGAATTAGGGTTTCTACAGTTCTGATTTTCACAATGGCAGTTCATTAGGATTTTGGTTATTTATTACAGACATGAAAAAGGCAAACTCAGATCGCCGACCGGAATCCATGGATATGCTATCGGAGTTGCCGAAAGAGATCTTGCAGAGAATACTGTGTCTCCTCTCCCAAGAAGAAGCTGTCCGAACCTCCGTCTTGTCGAAACCCTGGCGCCACATTTGGCGCACTCGCCCCAATCTCGTTTTTTCCGACAACGACAATTACTTCAGAGGTAAGGAACAAGAATTTCTATCCGTTGTCGACGAGACTCTACGAGGATACCTCGATCAAGGGTTGCGCTTGGAGGAGTTTCACCTTCACATGTCGAACCATGTGTCGGTTTCGATTCTCGATAAGTGGATCCCGAAGCTCGAATCCATGGGCGTAAGCGATTTTCGTCTTTACGTTCTTTCGAAACATGAAGTTGATGGGATGGTCGATTTGCCGGTGGTTCTGAAAGCCGAACCCCTAACGCTTTTGTGGCTGTATAATTGCGATTTGGGCCGGAATATTCCCGAGAAGATACCCTTTGTGCGTCTACAAGCACTCCGCCTCCAAAACGTCTCGATCGAGCAAGAGATTTTCGACAAGGTGATATCGAGCTGCGCTTTGCTTGCTAGTATGTGGTTCCAAGATTGTATAGGTTTGACAACTATAAAGTTGGAGACGAAGCTTCACAAACATCTCAAGCAGTTAATTTTTATTAACGACGTCACTTATCAAAAAGATGACTGCAGCATCGAAATCAATGCCCCGACTCTCGAGAAAGTCAAGATTTTCGGCAGTAAGATTCGGTTTCACGGCCGTGAGGTCTGTAATGTCAAGTCGTTATATCTAGCGAACGTGGAAATCGCCATCAATTCGGTCGAACGATCTCCAGTGTTATGCATTGATGCCCCAAACATGGAGTATTACGAATACACGGGGCTCGTTATTCCGTCCGTTTCTTTCGCGCCGGCTTCCGGGAGAACGAATTTGAAACTGTACATGCGGGACGACGGTGCGAACGACGCTCAGTCGTGGTTCCTCAGACTAAGTGCGTTGCTCCGGGATTTACGTCGGTCCGAAATCACTCTGCACATTTTTCATCTTGCGCGTTTCGATCTGCAAATCGAAGAAGATATTCTAGTACGCGACAATATTAACGGTGGTAATTATAAGCCGGTTGTGGTGGAGAATTTCAGGCTGGAAATCGGCCAATTGTCGTTATTTCCGTACGTATTAAGTGGTTTGTTTTGTATTTGTCGTCCGAGGAAAGTAACCCCGCAGTGGTTAGGGAAAGGAACTTGGACCGACGAAAGGAAACAGAAGGAAGCCGGTGAGTTCTTCGGCAAATTCACAAAGATGATAGAAAACGGAAACCGAGAAATCTGGCGGGATTTGGAGGGTTTAACCTTTGAAGGTCTTAACGAGATCCCACTGGAATGGCAGCCCTTTGAAGTGACGAAGCTGTCGGAAACTGAATTTACGGAATTTCGCATTCGAATGAAATGGAGCGATCAAGATTGATGTGAGTCCACTTCTATTTATTGACTTTTAATTCAAGCACTATTTTCGATAAACTTCTCGACGCACTCGTTTTGAATTGGTGTAACGGTATGGTTAATTAGACTCGTATTTAACTTCGATAAATCTGATTTTAGCTTGTTGAAAAACATGTTTCATTAAATGAATACAAATCGCAACTTTCGATAGGTCAGTCGATTGAATAGTTGTAGGTGTTGATAGAGAAGCCTGATTCACACATATTATATGATGATTTACTGCCGAGTTTTCGTGTTTATAAAAGTTGGATAAAATATATATATATTTTCCAAATATGGATTGTGGCTTGATTAAACCCTAGTACGCACATCGTTATAGTTTGAGCTACATCGACGTCGCTTTTTTTGTCTATAGCGATTCCACGAGAAGTATGACGAGACCATAATAAAGGAGATTCTACGACCATTATTATTATTATTATTATTATTTTTATTTTTTTTCCGTTTTCTGATTTTTGCTCGAAAACTAAGCTAAACACCCTTGTTATTACTCGATAAATGCAATGCAGGGCGTTCGGTTACAACCGGAAAGCATCATGACTATAGCGAAGGCAATACCGTAGTGCAGAATTCGATCAAGCTGATAGAGAGAGAAATGAAGCTGTATCCAACAAGTGTAATGTTGTATGTTTGTAAGAGAAACTACATTTCATGGTTGAATTTTTTCTTCAATGTTTTTGGATGTTTGTATTGAACTAAGTTGAATTAAACCTTTATAATTTAAATGACTTCCTTTATCTTACCTGATATAGACTGCATTATGCTGTGTGATATATATAATTTGATCGTGTGTCATTTGCCGTTTCTGAAATTTTAGTGTGCGCCGCTAATCAATGTCGATTTCGGGGCGTGAAACGCAGTTCACTCATTTTTTAAGTTTGATTTTGGTGAAACAAGAAAGAGTAAATAGCTTTGCTGTTTGTATTTTGGTCCGTTTTTTCATTTTGCCACCTTAAGGAAGAAGATTGAACGATCGCATCAGAACTAGTTCTTTTGTGCCACGTTGTCAAACGAGTTTTGATGCGATTGTTCAACCTTTTTTTAAGGTGGTAAAATGAAAAATGAACCAAAGTACAGGCGGCAAAATGCTATTTACCCTTTCCTTTTTCTCCAAATCAAACATAACAAATGAGTGAATTGCGTTTCACACCCCGAAATTGACATTGATTAGCAGTGCACGCTAAAATTCCAATAAACGGCAAAATACCATGTTTTTGTGCCACGTTTTTCATTTGTTCTCTTCTTCCTTCTCCATTTTCTTCATCAACCACATCCCCCAAAACACCTTGGAGTTGCCAAATTTACATACCTCACAAGCTTCTCGTTTCTTCACCTCCATTTTTATCGTCGAGAATTGGACCAAAAATACGCATTTGGAGCAAAGTGCACCGAGATATATGTTTTGAAGGGGACAGTCTCGTTTTCCTAATTTGAGGGGAGGAAGTGCAAAAAAGGCATTTTTTAGAGGGCGATGTGCAACACCTTTATTATGGAATTGATGACCAAGCGATTGTTTATTTTGTTTTAATATAGGGGTAGTTTAGATAGTTTAACTCATGTTAAGATTTTTTAAAATACATTAACTTTTGAGGGGGCAAATTGTAATTTCGTAAATAGGAGAGGAGTTCTCGTAATTTAGGTATCCCTCAGGGGTTATTTGTAATTAAACCAAAAACTAATTATGAGCTCATAAACATTAACATTTTAGTTTAAACTGAAATGGCTAAATAGCCATAAACATTTTAGTGCAAAACATTAAGGATAACTTATGTTAAAGCCCCTGAACTAAAGTCAATTTACAAAAAAACTCTCACGTATTAATAATTACCAAAAACCTCTTAAAGTTCGTTGTCATCTTACAAAATCCCCGTACCGTGTGAATTTTGACCGAATCATTTTGAATCCATGGAATATCTCTAAACATATACCATCTTACACTTCGGGGTAATTGTAATAATATTATCTCATGAGGGGTTAAATTGTAATAGATTTTCTGAGGGGGCGAAATGCTAAAATGGCAATGGTTTTCAAATTTGAACAAAATTGATTTGTCGGACATGTCGATTTTTAGGCCGGTAATCGACCGAACCAACCCAGTCCCAGCCATAAAAATGATTGTAACCATTTTCACAGAAAATATTAAGTATGAGGACTAAACTCTATGAAGACTAAACTATATGAGGACTAGACTGTTATTTCAAAAATAATAACCGTATTCACTCACCCTCCCCCGCCCACTACCTAATTTCCCGAATCTCTGTTTCTTTCTTCTTCCTTTCTTCGCTGAAATCCTCCGGAGAAGAGAAACGATGCATTGAAATCGACATCCCTATAGGAGAAATAAGTTTTGGAGAAAAGAGAGAATGGATTATCTCTCACGTATATTAATCATATATATAGTTACATGTAGGAAACCCTAATCCTAACTACACAAGGTAACCTATTATACAAGGTAACTAGAATAAATAGGAATAATAATAACATACGTAATATATATATAATATATACGCTAATACACCCCGACAGTCGAAACATGAAAGGAGAGGACGTGGAGACTGGAGACAAACTGTTGGAACAGTTGAGTAGGGAGTCCTTTAGTGAAGATATCGGCAAACTGGTAGGCGGATGGGATGTGAAGAACTCGAACGTGTCCCAAAGCAACTTTGTCTCGTACAAAGTGGATATCGATCTCCACATGTTTCTTACGAAAGTGTTGAATAGGATTGCTGGATAGGTAGACGGCACTGACGTTGTCACAGTAGACAATAGTGGCTTTCGAAAGTGGGCAGAGCAACTCAGAAAGTAGGTTGCGTAACCAAGTCGTTTCGGCGACGGCATTTGCGACAGCTCGATATTCGGCCTCCGTACTCGATCGAGAAGTGGTGACCTGTCGTTTGGAGGACCAAGAGATGAGGTTGTTGCCGAGGAAAACACAATATCTCGATGTCGAACGACGAGTGTCAGGGCAGCCACCCCAATCGGCGTCGGAGTAAGCGATAAGGGGGAGAGGTCCGGATTGGGGGAGAGCTGAAGGCCGTGATCGAGAGTGCCACGAATGTAGCGAAGGATACGCTTGAGAGCAGCCATATGAGGTTCCCTCGGATCATGCATGAATAGACATATTTGTTGCACAACATAGCAGATGTCGGGACGAGTAAACGTGAGGATTAAAAACAAAATTGAAATTACCTGAGTGCGGTGCCATATGAGAGGTCGCCCCACTGTCCATGAACCACTGTGACTCGGTAGGCTGCTGAAGTGTCACCGTATTCAAACGGTTTGCGAGATTCACCACGTTGACACTGTTGCAGGAACTGTTGCAACTGTTGATGAAACTGTTAGAGCTGTGGCATGGTTGTTGATGCGGATGAACCTGAGTAGGAGTCGAGTGGCCGGTGTAGGGTTCAGGTGGTCCAGTAAAGTAGGCTTGAGCCGCTGGAGTGGATGAGTGGCCCGATGTATTTGGAGCGGATCCCAGAATTGATGGTTGTCGGTAAGGTGCGCGCCAGAATTGAGATGCGCCATGGGCACTATGGTAGCCGTAGTGCTGCATGGGGTTCCGGTTAGTGCGACCTCCGCGATGGTTGGATCGACCACCCCCGCGCTGATTGCGCGAAGAACTACCTCCGCGGGAACTGTTGCAGGAACCGTTACAACTGTTGGATGGACAGTTCGCGTTGGAGGCGTAGAAAACAACAGCGGTCTGCTCCGGTTCAGCAATTCTTGTTTCTTCCATCTGAAGAAGAGATCGAGTCTGTAGAAAGGTGGGAAGGGGATTCTGAAAGGAGATGAGGTTGACGACGGTCCCGTAATTTTTCGGAAGGCCGTGTAGGGTTTGTAGGACGAGTTGTTTGTCGGAGATTGGATTTCCGACATCGGCCAAGTTGTCCGCCGTGGTTTTGATTATTTGGCAATAATCGTGAATGGAGAGAGCGGCTTTCTTGAGGGATTTGAATTTTTTTTCAAGTTGAATGGCTCGATAATCTTTGTTATCGATGAAGAGAGAAGAGATGGCGTTCCATAGATCACTGGCGGTGGAGGTTTTTGAGAGAACCATGTTGGACAGATCGTCGGAGATGGTGCCGTAGATCCAAGATTGGAGGAGATAGTCGGCGCGCTGCCATTCGTTGGCGGAAATCGAATCCGGTCGGGGTTTGCCATGTAGAAGATCGGAGAGGCAGAAACGACCGACGGTAATCGTGAAAAAGTGGCTCCACTTTTGATAATTAGGATTTTTTAGATCTAGAGTAACGGGGATAAGATATTTGATATTAGAGATGACGTGAGCAAGGTGAAAAGGATTGAGAGGGGCGGTGGAGGGAGAAGAAGCTTCGCCGGCCATGGAGAAGAAGGGGAGGGGGCGACAGCTATGTAGAAGAAGAGAAGAAGTGGTGGTGACGGCTAGGTTAACCTAGGCTCTGATAGCATATAGGAGAAATAGGTTTTGGAGAAAAGAGAGAATGGATTATCTCTCACGAATATTAATCATATATATAGTTACATGTAGGAAACCCTAATCCTAACTACACGAGATAACCTATTATACAAGGTAACTAGAACAAATAGGAATAATAATAATATACGTAATATATATATATATATATATAATATATACGCTAATAATCCCGACTCTTGAAACAATCAAGATCAACGGCAGCAAGATTAGGGTTAACATCCATAAGTTCGGCAATCTAAAGTCGTTGACTCTAAAGAGGGTGGAAATCTATAGCAATAATTCGATCAAACAATCTCATCAGCTACTTATCGATGATGCCCCCAACATAGAGTATTTTTACTATTCGGGAACTCTTATCCCGACAATCTCTTCCGCACCAAATTGCCGGGAGTCGTATTTAAAACTGTTTATTTGGGACGACGACGATGATGTGGAAGATTCTCGGTCGTGGTTCCCAGACTAAGTAAACTGCTCCATGCTTTACGCGGGTCCGAAATTTCCCTGAATATTTTTCATCATTCCTTGGGAAAATTACAGTTTATGTCCCTAAACTTTACCACTAAAACGATTTATGTCCTCAAACATTTCAATCTACGAAATATATCCTCAAACTTGCCACTTTTGATCACTTTATGTTCTGCTCCGCAGCTAACTTCGACGGAAATAGCACGCGTGGCTCACGTGACGTTTATGTGGCCGTTAAATATGACGTGGAATAATATATTGAATATTAAATGTTGACGTGGCACAAGAATATACTAATTTCCTCTAACTCACTCTCCCAAATCCCAAATCACGTTTCATTCCCATAAACCTTAATTTTCCCGCACTTCACAATTTCAATCACCTCAACCCATTCCCAAATTTTCAATCCAATCTGCATTCTTGCTCAAACCCATACTAAAATCGAAGTCATAAACCCATAAAAAATCCAAACATTTTCACATTTGAAGAGTTTTTCCCTTCTCAAAGAACAGCAGATTCACGTGCAAACACATGCCTGCAATCGAGAGAAAGAAGGTAAACGTGTAATTCTTCGTCTGCTGATGTTTGTGCGCCTTGTGGTCTCGATGAAGCGAGCACAAGGATGGTGAAGATGGCACAAATTCTACCCAACTCAGCAGTTTTAGAACCTGCCCATAAAGTGTTCGATAAAATGCCTGAACCAATTCCGGAAAAAAAAAATATGCAGCACCTGTCAAAGCTGCATATAATTCTTTTTTCACCAAGAATAGAGTGCCCAAGAACGGATTCGAGCTCCCAGACTTCCCCAACGAAGTGGAAGAAGAC